AACAGTGAAAATATTTTTGTGAAAAAATTGGTCATTTTCTAAGCCAATAACCTTACTTTTTGCTTGAAAATCTGGATCTAGAAAAAAATAATTATGTGTCTATAGAACCTGTTTAAACGCTTCCTTTTTACACCCAGATAATGTTTTGAGTCATACCAAAGAAGTTTAGGCTAAAAACAGTGAAAATATTTTTGCGAAAAAATTGGTCATTTTCTAAGTCTATAACCTTACTCTTTGCTTGAAAATCTGGATCTAGAAAACGATAATTATGTGTCTATAGAACCTGTTTTAACGCTTCCTTTTTACACCCAGATAATGTTTTGAGTCATACCAAAGAAGTTTAGGCTAAAAACAGCGAAAATATTTTTGGGAAAAAATTGGTCATTTTCTAAGCCTATAACCTTACTTTTTGCTTGAAAATCTGGATCTAGAAAACGATAATTCTGTGTCTACAAAACCTGTTTGAACGCCTCCTTTTTACACCCAGATAATTTTTTGAGTCTTATCAAAGAAGTTTAGGCTAAAAACAGTGAAAATATTTTTGGGAAAAAATTGGTCATTTTCTAAGCCTATAACCTTACTCTTTGCTTGAAAATCTGGATCTAGAAAACAATAATTATGTGTCTATAGAACCTGTTTAAACGCTTCCTTTTTACACCCAGATAATGTTTTGAGTCATACCAAAGAAGTTTAGGCTAAAAACAGCGAAAATATTTTTGTGAAAAAATTGGTCATTTTCTAAGCCTATAACCTTACTTTTTGCTTGAAAATCTGGATCTAGAAAACGATAATTCTGTGTCTACAAAACCTGTTTGAACGCCTCCTTTTTACACCCAGATAATGTTTTGAGTCATACCAAAGAAGTTTAGGCTAAAAACAGCGAAAATATTTTTGGGAAAAAATTGGTCATTTTCTAAGCCTATAACCTTACTTTTTGCTTGAAAATCTGGATCTAGAAAACGATAATTATGTGTCTATAGAACCTGTTCTAACGCTTCTTTTTCACACCCATATAATGTTTTGAGTCATGCCAAAGAGGTTTAGTCTAAAAAGAGTGAAAATATTTTTGCGAAAAAATTTGTCATTTTCTAAGCCAATAACCTTACCTTTCGCTGAAGAATCTCTATCTATGAAGTGATAATTCTATTTCTACAAAAACAGCCTAAAGAATGATTTTTGGAATTCAGATAATTTTTTGAAGCATACCATAGACGCTTAAGTTAAAAACAGAGAAAATATTTTTCGAAAAAATTATTTTTTTGTAAAGTCTTAAATTTTGGTGGAGAAGCTGCTTGTAAAGATCGATTATTTTTTTTCTAAAAAAGCTGCTTAAGGAATAATTTTTTTCATTCATATAATTTTTGGTAGTATAATAATTTATTTGCTTGCTTTTAAGTTTAAACAGTAGCGCTAAAGGATTATAGTTCTGTTTTAGGAGGCGAATTTAGACTGGTAAGGAAACGAAATTTTCTCAAAATCTCAAAACTGATCAATGCATAGGCATAACGTTTGAAATAAAATAAAAAAGTTGAAATCAAAAATCTGAAGAATTAACTTTGCTTTGAGTTCTGATTGCCTTTATAATGTACAAAGAAAAACAAAATAATGGTCGAGAAGAAATTTTAGGGAAAATATGAAACTTTGGATTAACCGCATCTTTGATCCTTAAGATGAAATTAGGTTTAAAATTTGTTTCATATGCCTAATATGCTCTAATTAGTCTTTCTGATATTTAGATGAATACTGGCAAGAAGGATTTTATAAAGAATAAAAATCTTTTTTCAACCTTATAGATTTTTTTGTCGGACATAACGTCTAGTATAGTATAAAAGTGTAATAACGTCTAGTGAAAAAGATAAAATAAGAATGAAATAATTTGCTAACAGTCATTTCACTATTTCAAGTCCCAAAGAAAAAAGAAGCTAACAGCTGGAAAAGATTTACAAGGTCGGCCCGTGCTTGCTAAAACAATTTCTAATGTACATGTTATGTTTAAAAGACATTTGCTTTTATTTAGATAGCTCATTGTAATAGTATATTATGCTATTGTCCGTTTTGTACTTCTTTCATCCACAACCCAATGTTCCACATGTCCATATGTAGAACATTAGCCTAAGTACCTTGAGCAATGCCTTCAGGTGGAGCAGAAAGTAATCAAGTGAATGCCATATTCTAAACTGATGATTATGATCTGATCCAAATCAGGAAGAACGTACCTTTGTCAAAAAGGCAGATAGAACCAATGGGACATCGAAACGATTGCGGCGGGTTCACTTGGTGATTGATGCTGAAGAAATGTCCCCGGCAAGTGTGGGTACAGAGTAATCATTAGGATGCGATTCATATCCAGCATTTTTATTTCAATCAATATCACGTTGAAATGTGTTCAGCTACATCCTGCAAAACATTTTACAAATAAAGCTATAAAATACAAATGATACATTGTTTACCACTTGATCTTCTGCCACCATCTTGTTTTGTCTTCACCAAGCGTCAAAACAACTGTATAAACAATTCAGGTCCAGTGAAGTTATTGAAAGCCTACTAGTTGATGATCTACCTACCACAACCTCAAAAGAGCATATACAACTAATAATACTGAATTGAAAATTACACAAAACAGAATAGGATAAGAATCGGTTCAACTGTTGAAGTCTGGTTTGAGTGTTCCAACAATTTTGGCAAGAATTGCTAAATACCTTCACCAATTAACACCAATTAACAGCTATATCCGGTTCCAAAGCATGAAATGAATCTTCTGGAAATACTTCAAAGATATATTAATTTAATTTTCATTTACCAGAATCAAAGAACGCTTAACTGGAAATACTTTGTCTAAATTCAATGAGAAAATATTGGGGGAGGATTATTATTTTGGCGACGTACTTTATAAGATGTAATGCTGTGATTTTCAAACTGTCTTTACGTAGCCATAAATGGGTTGTGGGCCTTCCTTTGAGGTAAATTGGCATTCCATATTGGTAAAAGGGCGTTTTCTGGTGTAAAAAATGGCGTTGCCCAAAATATTTTGTTTTGTCCCCCCCCCTAAAGCTCAGTCGCTGGCGTCGCCATTGCCCCCAGTTTTGCCCGTTTTTAGACTTCATTAGACTACACGCCCCTATTAACCCAAATTGCATTCATCAATTAAATTAATTTTTCATAGGCCTACTGTTTTACCTACCCACCATTCTTCGAATAAAGATATCAGCTATAAATAAATCATTGAAGTCTCACTCAGAGGTTACTGCACTCGTGTTTCCATTGGTTCACTCACCAACCATTCACTTGGCCTCGTGTAACCAGATGTTTTTTTGTAATAGTTAACCGTTTGAAAACAGTTGAAGTTGAAGAGGGTATTGAAAACAAACAAACAATCATTTGCAGAGAAAACATTGATTGACAACCTGCAGATCATGATAACTGATCGTGTACATAAGATCCTTTTAATCCAGTTTCAAACTTTATTGTTAAGATGGCGTCTGGTGTTATCCAATTTCATTGACCATAATACACTAGGCTTTTGCAGTTATCAAATTTGCTGTGGCTGATTATTCATGTTCCTTATATCTTTCATTCACTGGTATGCACTTTTACTTGCTAAGACAATAAAGCTCGGAACGTTTGAGATATAATCTACCTTATCTCCATCTATCATTGTTCTGCATAGTCAAAATCTTTATTCCTAAATTAAGAGCCGATGAACTCGATGCCTCATTGGAGATAAAAACCAAGTTGGGAGCCTCTTTTTCACAGAAAGGCTGTTCGTCTTAACAGCAAAGGTCAGATCACTACGAGCTTCAGAATTCACTGGCATCTACAAAGATTGCAAAGACATTTGCAAGTGATATCAAATTATTGTTGGGACCCAATATCTTATTCGTATAGCGACTGCTCTAAAGAATCAATAACTCTGGTACATTTGAATTTGAGAGCAAATACTGAAATACAAAAAAATCGTTCAGAAGAAATTTTTAGCCGGTATACGACCTCACAACAGGAATCTGCACAATACGACTTGCTTTTCTCGATTCATTCTTGTGAACCATTTTATACTGGATAAATCTTCAAGATAAAACTCTCATCTATCCGGTTATTTTACAAGACGTGAAGCAGAAGTCAGCATTTGAAGAATATTCGAGGCAATGTGCAGTTTGCAACTGATGTCTGAAGATTTGAAGAAAACAGTGGAATCGATTTAATTCGATAATTTCCTTTTTTGCACCATTCGTAATGCAGACTCAAAGATAATTGATTTTTACCCAGAAAAGAAAAAAAAGGATCAGTAACGTCTTAACGAGGAACAAAAGAAACAAAATCAAAACTTGGAACGAGCAGATCAAGGTAAATAAAAGGTAGACGTAAGAAAATATTTCTTCCGGGATTTAATGAACCACTAAAGGCTAGATTTCAGTGAAGGTCGAGCTAGTTACGAAACTTACAAAGAATCAATTCTCAAAACAAAAAAGAATGTCATTTTGGACCCGAATAAACGCACCAAGTTCCAGTGGATTTTTAGATGTATAAAAGAGACCAGAAAGAAAGAAAACTCTAGTTGTCGGGTAGTATTTCCTCAGTAGTCATTAGATCTCAAGAAGGAGAAAATGGAAGAAAACCCAAAGAAGAAGAAAGACAAGGAAGAAAAAGGTCTGTCATTTTCCATCAGTCGAATTTTGCAGAATCATGAAGAAAGCAAGGCAGTGACAATTGAATGCGACGAGAAAACGAACAGCAAACACACCATCGGTTACCAATGCTGTGAAACCAACGATGACGTTCTAAAGTTCACCGTAGAGAGGGTTTCAGAGCCTCTGACAATGCACCCATGGCAGATCCTGACAAAGCAAACAAGTAAGTTTGACACTGCGATTCCGCCATTCATTTATACACGACATATAGAAGATGCATAACCAAAAAGGCATAAAATAGAATGGTACATAGTGAAAATTCTAAAGACTGTTAATTTTACGTGCAAATTGAAATTATTTTTAGCAGTAACTGGGTCATACAAGCGTTTATGCAAAAAAGATAATGTTTTCTAAGGAACCTTGAACAATTTAGAAGGAAATTCTCTATATCTAACATTGTTTTCAACGGAAAGCTGATTCTGTATAAAGTCTTGATATCATCAAAATAAAATTAGATCTTTGAACTGTCTACTGATTGAATCTTGATATTGATAGTTGAGATCTATAGAGCTTTAAACATAATGGATAATCGCTTCCTCGCCTGAATATAATGCAATGGCTTATGTCATTCTTGGAAAATCTCACATTTTCATGCAAAAGCAATCATTTCGTAGCTCACAACAGTCGCAAAAATATAACCTAGAATCTATTATTTAGCAGATCTGAGATTTACATGGAGCTGCAAAGTGCAAATTTACTAGCAAGTTATGCATAATTTTGCCATTAGAGCTGAAAAAAGGATTTAGCTACAGTCACGTGAATTGAGCAGCTGCAAGTAAGGCATAAGACCCCCTTGTCCTAGGAGAGAACTAAGCTTATCAACAACCCATTTTTGCACTAGTAATTTTTTAAAGAGATGTGTTTTGAATCTAGTCTTTGTCAAATAAATATCTGACATTAAATGTTACCCTTATCAATGTGATATTAGAGCTACTTGAAAAACAGTCTAAATAATATGTGACATAGGCAGGAATTATTTAGGACTTCTCCTTTTGCGCTTCAGATCGAAGGATAGGCCATCCGTATCAAAGCAGGGCAGCACCAAAAAGAAAAAAGCCAAGAACGACATTCTCCAGAGCACAAATTGCAGAGCTGGAAGAGCTATTTACAGAGAAAAAATATCTAACGTCGTCTGAAAGACAGAAAGTAGCTAGTTATTTGAACTTATCTGATTGCCAGGTAAAGACGTGGTTTCAAAACAGGAGAACCAAATGGAAACGGGAAACTGAAGAAGAAAAAGAAGAACAAAGACATGCATTAAACAGAACTATGCTGACATTTCACAAAGAAAGGCCGTTAACATTGCATTCATATCATCACTTAGCAAACAACACTTGAAGAAGCTAGCAAAAAGTTCGTACACATCCGAGTGTTTGCCTCGTTTACTTTTGCCTCGTCCCGTTCACAGTATGCTAGCTGCAATGGTGATTTAGGCTCATCTTCCAACCTACTCTGCCCCAACTCCCCATTCTCTCGTCTTTAAGGCAGTCACGGGGCTATTGCAATAGGAATTTGTTTTCAGTTAGTACGTTACGCTGTATATCAACAGCAATCAGTGGGCAAGTTAAGATTACAACGGTTTGCTATGTCTCTCTTTCGGTTAGCAACACCAGCTCGCTGAATACAGTTGTTCAGTTTGCTTGAAAAAGTAATGAAGTAAACGGGAAGAATCTGAAGCTATCATCGTGAAAATCCAAGTCGTAATCAAAGATGATGATCAACTTGATAATCTATCATGATAGTAAAACATGGCAATCCAACTTGATGGTCTAACATAACAATCCAACATGACAATCCAACACGAGAATCCGACATAACAATCCAACATGACAATCCAACACGAGAATCCAACATGACAATCCAACATGACAATCCAACACGAGAATCCGACATAACAATCCAACATGACAATCCAACACGAGAATCCGACATGACAATCCAACATGACAATCCAACACGAGAATCCAACATGACAATCCGACATGACAATCCGATATGACAATCCGACAAGACAATCCAAAATGACGATCCTGATGATAATAGTGCAAACCACTCACCGGCAGCGATGTTTATGTGATATTTATTTTTGTGACATCACTGTGACATTTTTATACCTTAATTATGCAAATAAAAAAGGAACCACCTAAGAATAGTTACAATCTTTGATTAGAAAGATGAATCTCGAAAACGAGTTACCAAGATAACATAGCTTGAAGTTAGCAATATAATATTCGTTCTTTCAGTGAACAAAAAAGAACTTTAACCTTTATCTTAAAATAAACACATACTGCTTTTAAGTAAAATCCATTGACAGGTTTGTCGTGTAAGGAGAATGTTGTATATGATAAAATCGAATATTAATTAGCCTTTTTTATGAGTAGATTATCTATGTTTGGAGAGTTGTAGATTAAAATAATTTCAACGATTTGTGTAACTAAACTTGAGACATGAAATTATAGAAGAAATATCTTCTGCACGAGCTCTTATTCTTCTGTTCCATTGTCTACATTATATTGAAAGCTTGTCAAGCCATCCATCAAAATAACGGCTTGTGATTGGTCAGTATTCTTGCGATGCAAAACTGTTCACATGGAAAGTTAGCCTCGCACTGTAGAAAACAGAACGATCATGATGGCTGGGGCGATCACATGAAAAATCACATGTTTCTGAAAACCCATGCAGAGCTGCCTGCTTTAGTTGGACACATTACCTGTAACGGCAATATGTCAGTAAAAAAAGAACGCTTTACGAGGTTGCAGCTTGGTCGGACCTAATCAACGTACACGTAACTTGGTCTGAACCAATCGAATCACGAAACACCTTAATTCACATCAGCATTTGATCAACAGTATCGTGCATGCAGCTGCAATCTATGTGAGCACAGTGCCTCAGACAAGTAGAGCAACTTCAATAGCTTAATATTTGTACCTATATCACTTCAACCGAACATTTCCTTGTAATTACAGTTATACATATATGCAGCACTGTATGAACTCTTTAGAAGCTCAAGTTCACAACGAAACTCATGTCCGAGTGGCAGACTTTTTCTTAAAGGTACAATTAATTTCAGTCATTATATCCTTCCTCATGACGCCTAAATTGTTGTTAGTATGGCTGTTGATAACTTCATGTATTAAATAATTCAGATTTTTTAAATTTGGACAATGTAACCTGGAAACTGTAACAGTCACATAAATTCAGACCCAAGTATTTGCATTCGACACTTCAATCAAGTTCCATTTACAGAAAAACTCTTCAGTCAGAACTTTTCAAGCAAATTTAGCGTGACTATGCCTATGTTGTTTTTGCTTGGTTCAAAATAAGGGGGCACCCAGACCAAATTTCAATGATTTGATACGGAAGAAGTCTATACTAATCTGGCTAAACTACTCTCCTCCGCAGAGGCTATCGGGGAGGGAGATAGGGATTGAGAAATGGTGAGCTTCTCCACTTTTCCTTTTCTCCGCAGTTCCTTTTATCCTATCATTTTCCCCTTCCTTTCTCCCTCGCCAATAGCCTCTGCGGAGGAGAGCATGTGGCTTTCAATATTGTTACTACAGATTTTGATATTATATACTATATTTCCTTTAAAGAGTGCCTCGGCGTTTATTACAGAATTCAAATTATGGTCGGCGCTCATTAGAGGAAATACGGTAATAGAAAAATTAGAAATTCTAAAAATAGATCTCTATGACTTTGCCACTTTGTTGATGTCAAAAACTGCGTCATGGATGCGGTTATTGTATTGAAGAAATAAATATCGACAAAAATACATGTAAAAATACATGCTGACAATAACCTTTTAGGATGTTGGATAGCCATAATCATCATCATCAGGTACCTACTTCTATCAGAAGGTTGGCTACCATGACCCTCCAACTATCCCAAAATCTGAGCTTTGGTTTGTTGTCATGGTCATAGATCAAACGTTTCAGTTCACCGAGGTGGCCAAAAAAAGAGATTAAATGTCAGACCTAAGTTTGGAAAGAAGAAATAAGTGCTTAGAGAAGAAGAATTTTCGGAAACTCGTCGAAAGTTTAAGGAAGAATTTTTATCACAGTATGGCAAGTCACGCCATTTTTAGAAAAGAGCTTGTAAAGAGAGCAGGTAGATGTTTGGTGAAGATAGCACGTCCAGATCTAAACTGTCAAATATGAACTAGCATCAGTGATATCTTAACTTATGCCAAACATCACGTTTGCCGAATATGCAGTAAAAATGCCAAATCAGTTGAGTAAAAAGTCATTTCATAATTTTCACGAGGAGGGGAGGGGGCGATGTCACACAGCCCCCTGACTACAAGTTAGAAGAGCTGAAAGAATTAAAAACAAAGCTCACTATTGAACTATTTTCAAAAGCAGAGTTTCATGTTAGCGGATTCAGTAAATCACGACAGTACAAACTGTATCCTTAATCTCATTCGAATGCAAATTCACCTTTTAATTTCCTTATTTAATTTTATTAATTTGCTTAAAGCGGACAGACCGAGATAATTTAAGTTGTACTTTGAAAGAATAAATCCCTTGATAGTAATTGAATTGGAATTTTCCCTAAAGATTAAACACTTTAGATTTTCAAGATACCACTAGCGTATGTGTTTAAACTGATGACACAAATTCACTAATCCAATCGAGCTTGTTTTTTCTGAAGAGCTCGAGTTTGCTCGTAAATCACCAATTGAATGCATTTGTCAGCTGAACGTGAAAAATTAGCCTATACGAACGCTCCATTTATCCCATATTAAGTTGAATTGCCAAGTATTCGTCACGTTTTCGAAACGTGACCAAAGGAATGCTATACTCAACGTTATCAACTAACGTTAAGAAACATTACTATATTGGCATCCTATTTCAAAAACCATTTACGGACACGGAGTTTAAATGAATGAACAAACAAGGCATACTTATATCCGCAACTCTAAGTTTTTAAAATCAGTTGCCTTTTTTGAGTAAAAAACCAATATTTTGTCTACTCTTTTTTTTATAAGAATATTTCTATAAGAACATTAGCATGATAATTGGTCAAAGTTAAGAGTAAAATTAAGAAAAATTTAAGGCTGTGGAACTGTAAAATGTAAATTTGAACAAAGTTATGAAACCCAATAAAAAATCTAACAAACGAGTTTTGTGCCATCATGGCCTTCGTTGGTGTATTTTCGAACTAGTTGGCCTAGAAAGGATGTCGCATTCACTTGGTTGGCAAATGGGGCCTGAACACTTAAATTCTAATAATTATGAGAAATCCAGCCGCTAAGATTTGAAAAACTAATAACCAGCCTCAAATTCAATCTACTGGTTCTTATAAAGTAGTTTATATGAACCTGTTTATCGCAATATTTCAGAATCCGTGATACAGAACCCAGGGTCCTTCGATTAATTTAATGACAATAAATCATAACCCTAATTCTGTCTCAATTTGGTAGATGCATATCGACCTTCCATTACATAAGGTGTTTTTCAAGCTTTGGACAGAAGAGCTTCAAAACATTGTAGGGTATAGCAAAATATTGCAGACAAAGCCTGTAATCTTTGTGTATTCACATTAAGATAACAGTCTGCTGAGGAAGGCAATGGCCTGATGATATTCATAATACGACATCAACATTTCCGTTTGTTTAGGAGTGAAAGCCATGATAATATGGTACCTGATGTGGTTGAAGAGTGGCAAAAGAAACTCAAAGATAACAATTTAAATAGCAGGATATAAGCCACAGTAGTTTTGTGTATAAAGAGCTTACATTTTAACAATAGAAAAAACTTGCGTTGGAAATCAGAAGAAACATTATAATTCCTTAACGATCGACCAAAATAAAACATTGGCACATAGAACTTTTTTATGAGGCACAGAACACAAGTTTTTCTATATAAGGAGCATGAGGCTTGCTGAAAATTTAAAAATATGTCAAGAAACATTGACAGCATGAACTGGAATAGCAAGTAAACAAAACTGAAGCGTAAGAGCGCTGGCAACAAGTTATTTCAGGATTCAAGGTCACAGTATCATCCCCTATAAACAGTTGCAAATGGTTTACAAGACATTTCCAAACAAGATTTTTAAATGGCCAGATCACTGTTTATAGATAAACAGAAAAGAAACATTTAGTGCTGCAAAAAGAAGGAACACCCTAACTGAACACAATTGCTGTGATTCAGAATGATCAGCATATGTCAGAATAATCGTTAGAGTGTTTACTGAAAGCATTGATGAAAACGCTGCAACGGAAGAGTAACTACAAGAACATTGTCTTGTGTAAGTTTGAAATGACATTCAGCATTGGGCATCAAGATTAGGATAGCAGAGGCATCTCTTAACTGCGTATATTTTTTGAACACAATGATGAATACCATAAAAAAGGCTTAGAATTATTATTCTTCTCTGCCTATGTAGAAAATAAAAAGAGTATATAATGGAAAGCCTATTATCAGCAATGCTTATGGAAAAACAGAATGCCGGAAACCAGCATGGAATTAACTTGCTGCAAATGCTTCATAGGTAATCCTGTGGCTTCAAATGCAGAATTCTTGCACCACTAGATCCGCATCATATCATCAAGCGCCTTTTCTCGTGTCTCCCAGATAAGCATCTAGGAAGTGCCATAGTTGCTTATCTATAGAGACGTGCAATAGAAGCATGCTAGCCATGTTGTACTGCAACATGAACTGTTCTTGCTAAGCAAACAGCTAAAGGGTGTTGCATAACATATATTGTTTGTTTTCAAAATGGCAAGTGACGAGACATGTATGTTTATGCTTAGAATCAGCCTGTGAGAAATATAGGGGTGTTTAGGCTTCTTACAGTAAGGCTAGCTATCATTCAATACACATGCGAGCAGGCTAATTACCGTAAATCAGTGGCGTAAATTGCAGGGTGTGGGGGGCAAGTCTCCGAAGTTTTGCTAAATTGATGGTTAAGACTTGTTTTTGTTGGTAAATTATGCCATTTGTAGGCAAATTTACTTGATTTTGTGGGCATTGCCCCCCCCCCCCTCACCTGAAAAATGAATTCCCGCAACTGCCGTGAATGCTAAATGTAGATCAAAAAGGGATTTGGCGATTGAATATCTAATTTTCAAAATCCTTTTCTAAACTCCTTCTTGAAAAGACGGAATCGACACCATGCAATGAGAACATGGATTTTTCTAAGGTGTGCTTCATAAATGTTGTGAATGGTGAATCAATGAAAGAGAAGTTTAAGGAATTAACAAATCTGGAATAAATTGACGCTGTTCGAAACCAAGTGGAAACAACTTTTTACCTAAGGAAATACTCTTTTCTGTTAAACTCTTCAAGTACAAAAGGTTATATGCAAAAAGGATTAGCCTATATTCGACACTGAACCTTCACGAAGCAGCCCACTTTATGAGAGCCTACATCAATGGATACTATCAAAGAAAAAATTAATCGTTATTCTCGTCGAAATTGGTTCGAAATTTATGGTCCACCCCCTCCCTGAATGTTTGTAACCCTGAAACCTGTAAAAGAAAATGGGCTGCCTGCCATTTTTTACAGATGTCATCAAGAAATGCACAAAATGGCAAATTTAATTACTATGGCCGTAGTGACATCAGAAATAAAGGTCAAGACAGAAGCAAGGCATTATTCGGGAGTTGCAAATAGGTTTAAAGACCACACTCTTCTCAAACCGTGACCCAACAACTTTTCTCTTCTTGCCTAAGCAGAACCTCGAGTGCCCCGTTGGTTAAAACATGCTACGTCATACCACTTGCTGATGTATCTTAAAAAAGAGAAGAGTCCTGCCGCCATTAGGCCAACTGATGTTCCCTGAGCGAGATGTATGTTTTGCATAACGGTGGCTCGAGCAAAATAAACATCAGGTCTGGGAGATTTCATTACAAGCAACTGATTTCATTTTGGTTTTTCATGCTAAAAACAAACCTTGTACGATTCACTGTATCAACAGATACAATTGCCTTTCTCTTCGGTGCTACGCAACTGGTACTATACAAAAAAGCGGAACACATACGCTTTCTGCTTGACCCAAGATTCTAAAACTGGAAAGAAAATTACATTAGATTTGCCCCATTGAGAGCAAAACGAGGAATGCATAACGAACTTTTCTTGTTGCTTCTGTTTCTCTGTACGTTGACCACGATCAACGCACAAAAGAGTTACCTTAATAAGTTAATAGTGTAATCAATCAAAGGCGTATTATTTGTAAATGGCGTTGGGTAATCTTGATGAACATAAGTGATTTTGATTTGTGGCAAAAAATTGATACAGTATGAACAAATGAGGAGGGCTCTAGGTAAATCGTGAACGGAAAGCACTATAATCTATGAAAGAGTTTTGGTTTTATTAGCTGGCTAACATCATTAAGGAGTCAGAACCCAGACAGACTGTCTATGTGGTTAATGATATGGTCTAAAATGAAATCAAGTTATTTTGCATATTTCCTAATTGAAACATTCCACACTCCTGCATTTTCTTACTTTAAGTCTGTTAAGAAAACACATGCCCAACTCTTCGACACTGTTTGCTTATGAGGAATTTCGATAAACCAATGTCACAATGGCCTAAACGTATTTCTCAGCAGACAAATAAATTATCTTTGGGTTGATTATTAAAATGTGGTTGTTTCTTCCTGCGTGTGGTACAGAGGACCCTGCAACCTCGTTAAGGAAATGCCATCACGAAGCTGAAACGGTTTACGTGCAGAGAGCTTGATATTACCAATCATGGCGGTAGTTTACGCGCGAAAGAGAACTCAATATAGGCACTCAAAGCAGGGCAAATATTCAACTTGATATGCTTCATAAAATGCTAATATTCTCATGCAATAACAAAATAGAACAAAGAGCTGAGTTAGTGTCAATTTGACTTTGATACAGGTAATGATGTATTAGTGTCAAGAAAGTTTGCATAAATTTGAAGAAAGAATTATCAGCTTGATGCTATAAAAAATTGCTTTGTTAAAGTAATGTACTGCCAACACCAACAAAATATTGTGATGTTCTTTTTGAACCGAAAATTTGCAATAAGATAAAGACCATTAAATAAACATTCCCAAAGAAGCGAAAAGCATCTGAAGAATCAATACATGAAGAAGATGACACAGCCATAACTGTGTGCAAACGCTTAAAACTGCTCGTCCTTCTGAGTATCTTCTTCAAAATATAACACATTTACAGCCGATTAAAGGATATAACTCGATTTTTCAAGCAAAGAAGCATGTTGTCTGTGCACGCCCGATAATCGCAAGATTTCTCTGGATTGAAATGTTCAACATAAATGTTTTTGAAGAGGAAATGTGCTGTTTGCTATTTGCAGCGAATATAACTGCAACAGATGACATCAAAAGGAGAAAGCAGAAGAACTAAATCTTGTTGGGAAGACGCAGAGAACGACACCTGGTCAAAACGAATAGCAGTCTCGGCCAAATGCATTTGACTTATTAAAAAGATAATTTTCCTAAAGGGAGAGAAGAGAAGGGAAAAAGTCGAATGAATTGTCTACACAAAGGATGAGTATGTGATAGGCAATGATGGCAATACGTATGAGTTGATAAGTAAAATCCACTAACTTATCTCCTGTTGCGTCAGTTTTTGTATTGATTGGTCGATTAAAAACGACTCCACGAGAAATACTTTACTTTTACCAGGCAAAGAAAAAAGAACAAGCCCTAGAATCTAAAGAGTCGTTGCTAGCACAAGCCGTTTAAGTCACCATAGAAACTAATGCTGTTGACAAATTAAAATGGAGTGAATTCTGCAATAAAATAAGCTGAATCAAATATTTCCTAAACCCTTTTCATCCTTCAAATATCTTATTCTCGAATAAATAAATGAACTTATAGAAAGGATCTCTGACAAATCGCTCTTTGTAATCCAACTACAACAACTGGCTTAAGAGAAGTCGATTTGATTTGAACCACGAAACAAAATTCATGCCTGATTTGATGTGTTAATTTAACAATAAGCCCTGGCAGGTCATATGAGTCACTTGAAGATTCCATGAAATTATCCAATCCAAATTAAATAATGACATAGTCGGAGGGTGGGCCTCTCTAATGGCCAAGAGTTAGCCGATTGTTGTGAGCTCAGAATCAACTTTTGAAAAATTCAGTTCAACTAAAAATTATAAAAATTAACTTCAGAAAATTGATAAGGCTCTAATGAACTTCTACTATTCATGACGAGGGTCTGATGCCAAGGGATGAATCAATGGTGCAGATAGAGGGGGTAAGAGGGGGCGAATAACCCTCTGTAAAGCTAAACTGCTGCATTGTCTCTGATCTTGTCAAATATTTAACATGGATGTTGATTTTTAAGTGTTAACTTTTGAGAGGAAAGATTTTAACATAAGAATAATCATGAGAATATCTGAATAAATCAACAGATTTTTTTATTTTAGTTAAATTCATTACAAAACATAGGTGCTTATTAAATTTGTGTCGGAAAATCTCGCCGCTCCTATGAATCTTCTTATCTACGCCACTAGGGATGATATTTTATAATTAAACGTTCCATCTCAAAACAAAACATAACAGATGCATGCACAGCCGGCTCAATGACATGCCAAAGTAATAAACTCCAGTACTGTAAAATATAGCACACCGAATGCAACATGCTCATTAAAGCATGAAAAATACATGTCAACGCTTACATCATCAATAGGAACTGTCAACTAATAACAAATTCATAATTCATTGCATTTGGCCAGTGGAATAATGAAGCAGTCCGGCGAAATTGCACTTTTCATCTGTCAGATGCTAAATTGCTACAGCTTTTTTCTCGAAGCGGAGAAGTTTCAAGAAATTGCCAAGCTGTCATACAGACCTGTCAACCTTAAATTTTCAAAACCTGGAAATTTTGAATTTTTCCTGAAGAAAAACAGGGAGATTTGGTGAAAAACAGGGAGATTTGGTGAAAAACAGGGAGATCACAGTAATTCGTTATGGGAATAAATATACCTGATAAAATGTTGTGCTCGGCAAACATTTTGTGACAAAAGTGATCATGAAAAGTATCTTCATAATAACTTTTAGTGCTTTTTTTTACTAAGTGAGCACTAACAAAAAATTGTTGTCATGTGGAAAGTCAATGTGACCATTATATCTTAATTATACCTCTGTAAAAAAGAAAACATACACAATGGACCTGTCTTTGAAGCATAAGATGCGCAATTCATTAAAATATTCGGTGAAGAATCTTCCTAGACATTCTGCTAGACATCTTTAAAACCGGGAGAAAAATTTTAAAAACCGGGAGACCGGGAGACCGGGAGAAAGCAGTCAAAACCAGGAGTCTCCCGGCGGAACCGGGAGGGTTGACAGGTCTGTGTCATATATTTCTGCTTCTTTGCTTTCTGTATCGAATTTGAAACTTCCTTTTTGGCATCTTAGAATTCAGGATAAGCTTGTGGGGAAGAAGAGTTCTTAGGCACCATTAAAAATTTTCGAAAAATAATATCCTGACTTAGCTATAAAGAAAATTCCTAAAACAGCTCAGTAATGCACAAAGAATAACAACGGGTCAAAATGGCGATTGAAAAACTAAATCTTTATCTTTCAAAATAACAACAACATACATGATATTTGGAGTTGATCACTATAATTCTGCCTTCCTTTCAATCTTTATGAGTTCCACTTCAAAAATCAGCGTAGCACCACCTTACCAAAAAATAATAAGTACATTAAGCACACATAATTCATAGTAAAATGATTGCAGATTATCTTAAAAGGAAATACAATATGGGTAGTGAACGACAGAAAGCAACCATTTTTTAATGAGGTCCCTGGATAAGGCATGTAATTTTTATAAATGACAAGATGATCGCAGCGTAACTGGTTTGGGCATAACAGTGGTTTTTTAAGGTACGGTTTTAATAAAATCGACAATGTTTGAACAAATGGGTCCCGCTGGATATTCTTTTAAAAACATTGACTTTTACTTTCCAATTTGTCACATAACATAGGGATTGTCTATTGCGAAAAAGATAAGTTTGTCTTTGCCAATGAACGGAATCAGCATATACCCGGTTGTATCTTGCTGTACCTTCCAGTAGCTATTCAATTTTCATTCTTAAAATATTTGTTTGATTTTGAGCATTGTTAAGTGCTAGCTAGCTTTTAAGGAGAGAAAACCATGAACATCCTTGGCTCTTCAATGAAGCAGAAATCCAATAAAGATGAAGTCATTTAGAAAAGGTCTATTAAAGCTAAAGTGTGAAAAGCTATCAAAAGTTTACAACTAAAGCTTCTTAATAGTTCTAAGTAGCTTTTGGTGAGACCAAGTTTAAAATTTACGTAAAACGCCAGATTCTTTTTAGAACAAACAACACCTTGTTCTAGAAGAGGACATGAACTTTTCTCCCTCGGACATTCTTTGTCGCCTTGGAGACAAAGTGTTTTCTAGTTTCAATAGCTTAACATTGCACCAATAACTAAGTTTTTTAAAAATAACTTGGAACTTAAAAAAACCAACAAAATAGTTAACTACCTGGAATCTTTGGTGGGGCACCATGACTGCCATATCCCAATTCAGAGGGTATAACCAACTTTCTCTTTTCTCCTTCACACATACTATAAAATAAAAGTATTTCTACTGGTTGACAAGAAAACATTAAGTTGATGGATATTCTTAAAGATCTTAAAACATGCCACTTAGCAAAATATATATTTGAAATGATGAAGAAACAGTATACTAAATGTAAGAAAGACAACTGTTACAGTGAGTCAATGTTTTAGCATACTATTTGTATAAAAGCAGAGGCATTCTACACATACCATTATCTATGAATGTACTAATATTCAATTTACATAAAGGTAATGAAGGTGTAATTTTTTCACTTGAAGTTTTGGGTTTTCTCTAGAACTACACTTTTGCGTTCAGAATTATCAACTGAAAAATTCAAGAGAAAACTTCCAGTTTAGAAAAGACAAATAAAAACTAGACTTCTTTACAACTTAATGTTATGGAAGGAAATTTTGTATCAAAACTATCACTTGCAGAATATCCATACAATAAAGATGCTGAGCATATAAAGAAATGCTTGTTACATACTTGAGCAAGCCTTGATCCCATCCTAGAAGTCAAATGACATAACTTTTAGATCTTTATACATAAACACAAGCCATAAACAGATATATCAATTGATTTTATGACTACCTATGCAATGCTTAACTAAACAAAGATAAAATCAATATACTGTTGCTGAAATAATATTTTCTACAAAAGTGGATGGCTTTATGGGAATCTGTCTGTTTCCTTATTTAGTTTATAATTTTGTAAGCATTGTTGTATTTAATTTTAGCGTCGTATTTCATTTAATTGTATTGTAGTTGTGTAGAATTGTATGTACGATGGATTGATAATTATATGAAACTTGAAACTTGGTACAATGTGAGACATTAAGTATTTTTCAATATGGGTCTAATTTTCAAAAAAGTTTTATTTTGGGAATGCTAGAGAATTGGATATCAGTTGGCCAAAAGCATGATGCAGTTTTACTCAAAAAGAACAAGCAAGAGGTTTATTGGTTTCAAAAAATAACTTTAACAGTTTGGAGGGCCTCAGAGAGTCTTCATCAAGAAGATTTTGGAAGACCAGACCAAGCAATTTAGCATAATCTAATATCCTCCATGGCTCCTAAAAACATGGATTTACATGTTATTTTCAGGAAATCTTAAAAAATGGTCAAATGCATTGTAGACAAAAAGCATTGTCAAAAAATTTGTCAATTGCAAAAAAGTTGGCCAACTGTTCAATTGAGTGCCAGCATCTAAAGCACACCTCAAAATAGCCACAGAGACCAATTTAATGATCGCCTGAAAATGTTAAGTTATATTACCACAAAGCAAAATGTTGTTTTGAAACAATGATGATCAAACTTAAACCATTTTCTCAAATGTATAATTTATAAGATTTGTACAAGATTTTATCCCAATAAATTATGGTGCTATTTCATCCTTGATTTTGTGTTTGGACTCTTTCAAGGCCACAGGTATAAGAAAACATTTTTAAAATGAAAATATTATTTTCTATGCATGGAAAATACAAACAAACAAATGATTCAACTGTAAAAAGAATTTGACAGTTGAACCATTTCAAAAATGCAATGATACTTGAAAATGAATTGTTTCCGTTTGGACCCCAAAAGTTGGATTCATTTACAAAGAAAGAAAAGGCAAATTTTTGAAAATGTATGTGTGTAGATATGGTATGAGACCTGTTCACATAATACAGTCTATGAACAAATACCACAGAACATTATACCCTGACCCCAGGGATTTGGGGCTACATTCATATGGGAGCTCAATCCCCATTTTCAATGCCAAAAAGGAGCTGATTTCTACTTTTGCTTCTATCTTTAGAAATGTTGTGCACACCTCCCAAAGATGTTCTCAAGGCAACTTTATTATGAAATGTATAATGAGAAGATCACTATCCTTGAATCAAGTTCCTGTGTCTGTTTTGGTCTGCATAAGGCAAAAAAGGCTTGATACTCAAGAAGACGCTTTGATTATTAGTTTGTGTAACAATAATCTACCTTTAATAACTTGTCCAGCCCCGAGAGTGAAAACAAATGGTTCTCCTCTTGGAATACTGCTATCAAATTCTGAACCACTTTCCAATTTTCCCTGGAAACCAAAGATAATAATATGAAATCAATATATGGTATCATTATGTACCAAAAGTGGCAAAAATTGGAAAAGTATAACATGGAAATGTTTTGGGAAATTTCATCAGATCCAGCAGTTCAAGCAAACATTATTTAATATATCTTGTGCTACAGAAATTTGTCAAAAGTAATTAATGCTGCAACTGACCACTTGAGACTCTAATTCCCAAATCTTTCAAAGAAAAAAAAGTAAATAAAGAACAAAAAATCAATGAAGAACCATGGTGGCATTAAAAGAGTGTACAATCACAAAATAATGTCTCAAAAGTTACAATTAAAATCATATTATGCAAGAATAAATATCCTGACAAAGAGAATAAGAAGTTCTTTTTGATATCACCAAAAAAATCAAGTTTGAGCATGTTTTAAACTATTTAATCCCCTTTATACTCTGTAGTTACTAAAAAAGAAACAACATGAAAGAAATAGGAAAGGGCAGGAATGACCAAAAATGACCTGTAACAGCATAGCAATCAGAAGGAATTACTGTAAAAGCTCTTTCTTTTAAGCCCCCTCTCTCTCTTAAGCCCCCTCTCTATTAAGCCCCTCTCTTGGACTGACAAAAATAAATAAGCCCCTGGGAGCTTAATAGAACTTTTACGGTACTCAAGAATGGATACAAAAATACTTGGAACAGACAAGAGTCACCTGAAAAGGGACTATAGCTGCCTGGAACTTGTTAAAAACAACCTGAAGAAACACTTTGATGTGGCTGCTTTATCTGCTTAAGTCATGCATACTGAGAACATTTTTGAGGGGAAACAAGGAAGGCAGGGCCTGGACCTGTAGGCATAGGCAAAGCTGGATGTTATGTCTTTATTAACTTAGCTACCTGGCCATTTTTCACATCTGAATCCATCCATAGCACCAAATCCATAGCACTCGCACATCCACACAGCCCCACTCCGCACCCGCTCAGTCATGTTACTTCATATCTTTTTGAATTTTTTAAGTATCTTTTTTAAAGTTTCTTTTGATCATCATTATTACATCATTGTGTAAGGAGTGTGCAAAATGCTGTTAATGAGGCAACTTACTTGATATAAAATAGTTTCTCTTACTACAATTATTTAGATATTTGATATAAAATAGTTACTCTCATTACAAATGCTACAATTAATTATCATATAGGAGCGATAATATTTAGCGAGAATTGCCAAGGTTCCCATCTTGTTTCCTTTGACTTTCCATCATTGATGCTACTTCAAATCTTATTTAGCATGCAGAAAATACGGAGACAGTGAGAGAGACAGTATGTTGCCTGTGTAACTCTGATCTGAACTGAACTGACTGAACTGACATGCCCTGTGATGTCGTGAATGAGGTAAGTGGATGTCATGGTGATGGCATGTTCGATGAAGAAGCAGGAATATGGCCTATCTTACAATATTAAAATCACTACAATTACCTTGTGCAAGATAATGGAATAATCGCAGGTATGACCAGATAAACAGATATTGTGTGCAGAACCTATGGCAGATTCTTAATAATATGAGGGCGGAATGAAAGAAAAAAATTATTGCACGGGAATGGCATTCCCTGCGAAAACCAACTTTAAAGTCTGGAGGGGGGTTCCAGGTCCCATTTGAGACAAAGTGGGTTGGAAATCCTTTATTTGCCAAAAAGTTTAAAAATTTGCAAACTAGGTAACCATAAATGGCAAAAAATCCTTTGCTCTTGCAATGTGATATTTTTCAAGAAGGGGGTGGGGGTGTTACACCTCTCACACTCTCTCCTCGTGTAGTGACGGTCCTGGCTCCAATCTAAGATAAACCATTACTCGCAAATTACCCAATACCTTGTTGGACCCTTAACTTTTTATTTCCAAAGCTCAGAGAGTCCTTTAACACTGACAGTGAAACTGCTTAACATTCTTTTTGGCCTAAATTTTCTGAGACCACACCGGATATTTCCAACATAACCTATACATATATGGTCAGGGGCGGACTGGCTGGTCGGGCTATTCGGGCAATCACCCAAAGGGCCGGTCGGTTTAAGGGCCGGCTGATAAAAATGCAAAAAAATAAATTAGCTTAAAAAGTGAATGCGAGGCAAAAAGTATACCCATGCGTTGATCTGTTCGCCTTGAATTTTCAGAGACTTTGTGGGAAAGAATAAATATACACGCGAGTACTCCAAAACCACTAAAATTATCAATTCATTATTGTCACTGCAGCCCAAACACACTTTTCAGGAAACATGTTATTGTTATATTTTCTCTTGACGGTATTTCCTTTTTGGCGACATATTATACTGTAACACCCCTGTTTCAATGCGATACATATGATTTTAACCTCCCTTGATGTCTTTTTGCTTAGCTTTTGCTTGAAGCTGGTCATGTTTCTGCCTAAGCACAAGCTATTGCTTAATGAAGTGAATTTAAAAGTCCAAAAGTTAGAGTTCACTAAGCGATTTGCTCTGTGATGTGAAGCAATTGAGAGGACTTACGTAGAATGAGGGAAGAGCAAGAAGACTTCAACCAAAGGTGGTGCACAGAAATTTCGTGAGGAAAAGCTGTGAGACTTAAAACAGGATTCAGCTACGATACAAAGCTTTTTTATCAAGCAAAAGCCACAAACGCCACAAAAAACAGCAGGGTCTCGTTCTTGCCCCTTTCAATAAACTCATACAAATTTTGGTAGGTTTATTAGGCCTATACTATCATAAGTCAAATGCACCCCCTGCCCAACAGGGGTACGGTGCTACACGATAAAATTTCAACAGGGGTGCCCATGTTTTATTTTTGGGGTCAGAAATTGACAAATCGATATTTTTGGGCTGCTGAAAATCATTTTGATTTTCCAGAGGATTAAAAAATTATTTGTCACAAGTGGAGTGTGATAGAAGCTTTTCCACTTTAAATTTATTTAGAAACAAAGTCCAACCAATGAATTAAAATTTTTGTTTATTTACTACTTAGTCAGCAAATGACATATTTAACATGTTCTGTTAACAATGTTATGTTAACCAGCATTCTTTCATGCACAAAATTACTGAATTTAAAAATTTGTTTTCCTTACAGACTAACATTTACTAGCATTTTCCGAGGAGTTTTTTCTTTGCTATTATTGTGGGCCGGTTTGATCAAAATTTGCCCGGGCCAAAAAAATTAGCCAGTCCGCCCCTGTATATGGTCCATCAAATCTCCCAATTTTTCCCAATAACTCTGCCAATTCAATCAAGGTAGTTATTCTCTCAATTCAAGGTAAAATCAATCAGGGCAACACAATCCTAACAATATTTGCACTATCAAATATATCGTACCGTGTAATGCATATGTAGAACGTCCCCCTTCCTCGAGCGTCTTGAACAATTTTCTATCTTCTTCTTGACTCCTATCTGCAATTTCTTTTGTTCACATTCTACAAATGCAACTAACGTTACGGCTATAACAATAGTAAATAAAGCAAATTCGAGGCGATACATGCTGGCTATATTTTCTTCGACCAAAATTTGGAACTTCAAAGTCAAGAACAGTAACACGACAAGAGTTTAATGTACCTCGTTTGGGTGTGACTATGTGGATCATCTTGAAATAGCCTCTCTGTTTTGTTACTCTTCCTTCGAGCCTTTGTCAAGCAAGGGTATCACAAGAGAAATGCTGAGGGTTTTAGCGCCCAGTAGGGTCTTTACATTTTCCTACCTCGCTATTGATTCTTGTCATTATAAGGCCCCCAATATTTTTTCAGACAAAAAAGCTTTTGGCATGCAAAACCTTTTGCTCTGGATACAATATTTATTTTCCGGAAAAAAATGTTTAATTTTGCTTTTTTACATTATTCAATCATATCTTGGGAAATGTACTATTCACTCCTTTAAGTGACCTACAAAATGCATACCTGATCGAAGTAAAAATGAAATATTTATTCTTTTATTTGACCTTGAGTTCAGTAGTGTAGTGGAGCCGTAGATGGCGTTATACTACCTGCCCAAACAAACAGTGCCGTTATGGATTTTAACATTGGTATCATATTAAAATAACACGTTAGTATCATGCTAAATTCCTTTACACTATACCAAGTTTTCTTTGATTGCATTATATAGCAAAAAACCTGTTCAGACTTTCAATACTTGTCTCACCAATGGTCTGAATGAATATGAAAGAGAAAAAAGCCACATAAAGATAACGCTATAAAGATTTCCTAATATCATATCACTATTGCTTTTTAGATATTAGGCGTGCATAGTTCGTAGGCCCTTTTGTTCGTGATTTTAGGCAGTACCGAAGGAAGAATATTGTTTTTGGTCAAAAGAGAGAGCAAGTTCATAAAAGAAGTACAATATTTTTTGTAAAAATAATTTCATAAGAATTCAAGCCTCAAAATTGGTGAAAAAATGTTGAAACCTCTTAAAATTATCCATCTCAAAACGAAGGCTCTTTAAGAACAAAGGGAATCGAGGCCTGAACACACCCCCTTGACCACAATAGCTAGCAGATGTACTGGTTAAACCCTAGTGATTTAAAAAGAAATTAAATGCGATACAGCCTCAAAGTTTTGGAAAGATTAAGAACAACCAGCCTGAACTTCAATTTACTGCTTCTTATAAAATAATGTATAAATGAATCTGTTCCTGGGTCTGGGCCTGGGTCTTGGTCTGCCAAGAATATTCAAAAACAAAAGAAATGAAAAAGCGGGAATTATTACTGTTTCTTGAGGAAAAATCAATGTTTGATAGTTTGAAGAAAAGATTAATGGATAGAATAGGGCCATACTTGCAGCAATAGCATATAGTATAAAAACATTGACACTACCATTAATTGGCAGTGGCGCAGAAAGGCACAGAAAGAGCAATGCTTAACGTCAAATGCATAAACAAATGGAAAAATGGAAGTTTAAGATCACACACATTATAAAAAACTTTTAAGAATATAAGTGGCAAATGGGCAAGCCATATCGCCAGAATGGAATGTCCGGTTAAGCAGTGTTCACACCCATTGCCGGAACAGCCTAAGTATATTTTTAGTTGACAGCAAGTTATCAGTTTATTGATATACTGGTAGAATATGAGATGCAGTTATTGGATGTTTTGTACTTTCATGACCTATTCTAACGCCTGTGTTTTTGTGCTTCATATCAACGTTACCCGATCATCAAAACTTTTAAAAGCATTCTTGATTCATTTTGATTACCTGGATGTAGAGTGGCTTAGGGATACTCTCGACATTTGAAAGGTGTTGCGTAAAAGCCAGATCGAACTACAGAGAAACATTGTTTTAGACAAACATATGCAAAGTATTTGAATTCATAATGAACGACTGCTATAATTAAGCGATAAAAACGTTTCATAATGAAAACTTGGTGAATTTCGAGAAAGAAAGACTGTTAACTGAAAACTCTTGCAGCGAAACGTTTTTTCTGTATTTTGAGGGTGTATTGAAATTCTATGGAAGCGTGTAAAATTGTAAATCACTGGGATTTTCAGAAAGCAATTTACATGGTTATTTTGAAGATGCTTAATACGTAAAATGCCGAAGGAAAGAAAAAAACCTATTGGTTAAAAAGAAAGGAAAGTCACTGGGGCTGGAGGGTCAATTGCCTCCCTATTTTTTATGTTGAAAATTGTCCTGTAGGGCCTGCAACGCAGGCTATGTTGTTTTGGCAAGCTTAAGCTTTTTTCTAGGAAGGCACTTTTTTCTAGGAGAAAAGAAGAATAAGTAATGTTAGAGAATGTGAATCGAATGAATTTTAGCAATTACTTAAACTTTGATAAGCTTTGGATGTATAAAGTTTTGCCATCATGCTGTTTATTTTCTCGGAGTTACAGGGTCTAGGGAAATACTATTGGGAATTTGATTCAATTCACTACCAGGACAAAAGTATTGCAACACCTGTGTATGTAATTTTTACAATGTTGTGATGATCAAAGAGCAGTTTCCTCTTGTAATGAGCCTACGAGATTTCAATGAAAACAAAAGGACTTCCGGAAATATTAAGATAAAACAATAGGATTTCCACCAAATGTGTACGAAATTTCCATGGAGTGATTTACCCATCGATGATGATGGTCTCGTTTTTTTTTCTACTAGCATTTTCTACTGGTATTTTTAGAAACAAAAAATAACACAAGATACCACGAAATAGAGCCTGAAAAACCCCTTAAGGAGCTCAAGTCGTAAGGAGCTCATTTTCGCGTGTAGTAGAAGATCAAGTGAGATAAAATTTCCAGTAACTTTATGAAAATTTCATAACTAATTTTTCCCTTGCGATTTATATATTTCGGACAGCAGATCAGAATCTGAGTCCAATCAAAGAGGAGATTCCCCAACAAAGGGAATTGGGGAATTGGGTTCTAGTAAGCCACCTAGAGTCAGCTGGTGAGTGTCCATGGCAACGCGAGCCGCAATTCCTTGAAAAGAATATGGCGGAAGGAATTCATTTCACAGCATTTTGTTTGTAAATAAGGCATGGCGGCTGGAAGCTTAGGAGCCTTGAGCTATGGCTACTCAAGGAATGTCTTTCCAAACAATAACGAGGTTGTGTGGGTAGTAAGAACGTATAACCCGAAAGAGCCGAGGACGACAGCTGCTGTGCCAGTGCCTAGGCATAAATTTTTGTATCCGACCCCACAGAATCTTCCAGATGTTCCGAAAGAATGGAAATTGCAAGTGGAGCCATCAATTTTTTCTTACTCTTTACGTGATTGTGGGCAAAAAAACTACCCATCCTCTCAAGCAACAAGATGTGAAGAATGGTCAACTCTACGACAAACATTGCCAAGCAGAGGTTACCACGAAAGAGGGTCTGCCCCACGGTGGGGGACCGCAGGCGTTTTAATACCGCCAAGAGCAGCTCGAGAATATTCCAAGAGGTTCCCGCACATAAACAGCCCAATGACAAGGTGATTTTCACTTATTTTTGAAATCGTTATATCATCGTATAATTGCAGACTTCATAAATGAAAACAGCTGAGTTATTCTTCATTAATTTTTTTTCAGTATCGGCTAAGTTTCTCATGTGCAACTAGCTTTCTCCCTTTCATAAACTATCATCATAAACTATCTTTGATACCCTTTCCGTTGGCTTAATATTCGAATAATTTATATTTTACAGGTATGTGGATGACATGCACCTCACAAACAGGCTGTTTAAACTGCATTGAGGCCGGCTTCATGCATGGATGCAAAAGGCAACCAAGGGTTTGATCCTGAGTTTTGGACCACCGTAAATGTGCTTAGCGTAATTAGAAGAAGGAATTAATTATTTAGTCCTATTTGATTTTCGATATTATAGAAGGAATATTTTCTTTTCATTTGTCACAACATCTCAGCTCTTCACCTACCTCTAAATGGTCGTTCAAATTTGTGATTTGGGATAATTGCGTTGCATTATTAACGAGAAAATCTACTTTTTATAAAATCAAGAAGGTACTTTTATAATTTCCAAAACATTAAAACATTTGGCCCTGCAATAGATTATGTCTTGGACCAGACCACCTGTTGCAAAACAAAATGAACTCTGTGATATGAATTCAATCATGAAGGAAACTTGTTATACACTTATCTGAATTTTGTCAGAAGTCGTAGATCAATGATGATAAAAATCATCTAATGAATACTTTATAAGTCTAGGCTAGATTTCTGTTACAATTTGCCCAAAATGAACGTATGCTGTGGTTCGGAGGAGATTTAGAACTCCAATTCACAGAAGCACAAATTTGGCAAAGAACACCTATTAGCATGAAGGATTTTTGCTGTATTTGTATGTATGACGGACACAAACACCATTGTTAGACAGAGATAACCACGGAAAACGAACTATAAAGTTGTCGACATCAATATGTTCCTTAGCATTAATCTGATCTACTTACCAGGTAGCTGGTTCCAAATTGGCTGTATGTCTTGTTACACCCAGCTGCTATATATTGAGAGCCAATAATGTGCAATTTCAATTGTTTGAGAATGGATCTTGAAATCTTTTCAGATTTTTGATAAAAGTTACCAGGCTTGATCATCGATCAGTTAAAAATAAAAAAGTATTTTTCACTACATGCCTGTATTTTGAACATGGTAGACAAAACTAATTATGAAAAATCACACACAATCATTTTCGTTCTCATTTACAATTTTGAAATTTCCACACTTTACATGCTTATGCTGCTCGGCTATATTTCTATGTTGATATACTGCTCACCACAGGCAACAAAAGATCCATTTTTCCCATCTTTTATTTTGTAACCAATCCAATATTTTCCCTGCAGATATAAAATGTCAGTACAAAAAGAGTGTGCTAATTATATCACTATTATAAAAATCTTTTAGCTAATCAAATCAAACTTACTTAAAAAAAAGGGTCGATCTTCCTCAGTAATCAGCATTGCAAAAAACACTTACTATTGGCTTTAACATTGGCTTAAGATATTTTTTTGAAAAGCATATAGTAAACGTTGCAAAAATAAATCAGATAACTCAGGCAATTTAGCCAAATTCAAAACGTTGTTATACCTAAGACCATGTTTTAAACTTCAAAAGAATTGTGGCATTTTGTCTGACGGATTCGAACTCCGTGTATTCCTCTTTCGTTAGCAATTGTTTCTATTTATAGAACACGATTCAGAACCTTCCCATTGTAACATCCTATATGAGAAATATATTTCCACTGTCCTGGAATATGTGAAATGCGTCAAAAAATAGATTTGATTTGTAGCAAAGCGCACTCACAACACCTAATCACTTAGGCCAGTCGCGAGTTGCAGAGCAGTCATATTAAACTTAGAGGTGCTTTTTTGTGAGTTGCCATAATTTATTATAAATTAATTATAGAAGATGGTGATTTTAGGATTTGTTATCGGTTTCAAATTGTCACACTTCCGATACAATCTATTCAACTACAGTTGATTTCTTACATTGACAAGGAATGATGGGAAATCCACATTGACAGGAACTGTGATCGTGACGTCATCAACAGCAATTTTACAGCTCGTACACATGTCCAGATACTGAGTGCAGTTCATCTTTTGGCAGTCAAACTTATAGTCACTAAAAATTAATGCGCAAAATATCAACGAGCCACCAAGTGATAAAGAGTAATATGACGAGATGACGACAATTCATTCATATTGTTCGTATTGTTAGATAACTGACATTCAAATAACTATCTTACCGACCACTTAAAGAAAATGGGAAGGGTGCCACAGCTCCCAAAACCCCCTTCTCATTTATATCTCTTCCAATTTGAAACTAGTTATTGGAAAAGATTTGCTAGGAACATGGATTTGCAACAAATAATGAAATATTCCTAACATCTTTTGGAACTTTTGGAATCCAAACTCGATACTATATTTTAAGGATTTCATTATTATTTCAGTCAAGGTATGGAAATGGTATACATAATTTTATTACCAAGATCCAACTTCACTAATGCAAGGAATTTTAATCCAGAATCCAATCTTTTTCCATAAATCTAAGTCAACCTCAAAGCTTTTTGGCAGCTTCCTTCGAACTTTGATTGTCAATGAAACATTGAATTTCTCTCCTTCCTTGACAACAAGAGGATCTGGCAATTTTCGCACAAGCACTTGAAGTGGGTAGATTGTTTTAGAATCTAGAAGTATGAAATATTGTATACGTTATATAAATTATACAGATCTTAGAGAATAAAAAAGTTTCTGTAGACTGTTCTAAGGCGCATTTCTAATTCATGCGATTTGTTTCAGCTAGATATGTCAACTAACTATGCAAAAAATGCCATTTTGAAGACTAGAGCCATAAATAAATACGATTTTTTCTCAATAACCCACACAAGAACCCATCTGGTTACAAGAAGGCAGAAAAGGTCTTCCTTGTTGACTGTTCTTCATTTTTTATCTAGTGCCTTGTGGTTGTTTTTTTCTCTTCGTCTAGTGTTTTGGGGCAAACATTCTATTGAACCTATCCGTCTTTTCATAAGAACATACTTCAAAATGGCAAAGACAACCTTTCATTGGAATTATTTCAAGCAAACATTGGGACATACTCTATTTGCAACCAAATGTCTATATGCTGCTCACGACTTTTTATTTACCTGTAAGACAATGCTTTGATCCAGGATCTCCACTCATTGACCGCTTATTGGAATTTTCTAAGTTAAGAAATCCCAAATTATTTAAGACATTATGTTTATTAAATCTAAGCTTTAAAAGCATTTGACATTGCAAATAAATCTGGGAAAGTTCTATTTTAAAAAGCATTTCCTTAAGGATTAATCTGCAAACTATATTAATGGTACAAAATTTAATCTTTTTTATTAATTGTGTACACGGTCTAGCATCAAAAAGCATTCCCAAGGGTAAATACAATATGAGTGCCTAGATGACAAGTAAACTTTGTTAAGACGGTCTGCTAGTGAAGAAACATGCATTTTGCTTCAGCATTTTGAGGAGGCAATCTCTCAAGTCTCTTCACGGTTTCTACTCCTATGTACATAGTTATAAAGCTCCCAAAAGAATGATTTCTAGAACTAATACCTGCTCAGTATCTCAGGTTTCTAATGCATGTCCGTTAATTAACAGATAGGAGTATGACGTTAAACAAGTCAAATAAGTTAATCAGCAAGAGTAAAGTAAGTTGATTTACTCACCACAATGGTCACCTACTGCATACCCAAGGCCAGAAAGTGCAGCAATAGCTGAAATAATGAATAGGTAGGACGCCATCACAGCACAATCCTGTGATATGAGAGATTTAACGATTTCACTTCAGTATAACCGTTTTAAATTTGCTTCTACTGGTGGTCATTTGTTCACTATGTCGAGTAAAAAGCGCGTAAAAGTGAGACATTGAGAAATAGATGAAAATATTTTTGTTTACCTTAACCATGAGAAGAGTTTCAGCTGGGATTGGTATTTTCAGTTTGTCAATATGAGGAAAACCGTAATTAACAGGATATTGCACCAAATTTTGAACATTTGGAAAGCTGTGAAGTTATAACAGCTAATAGTCATCAGAGTGTTTGTGCAATTAAGTGACGTTTCAAGTATTATCAAAAGGCCATGAGGTCATCTGCTTTCCTCCTAGTTGTACAGCTGGTTCCACATTCTCTGTTTTATTTGGGAATCATATAATGTACCAGGGTGCTGCTTCTTACTTTAATTTAAGGATGTTTGAACAGATTGGGATAAATTTTGAAGATTTCAAATAATACCTTCAGAGCCAAGAAAACAAGAAGTGAAGGTGCAACGGTCGACGACCGTGAAAATGGTCAAGGAGGCCAAAAAATTAAACTGCCCCTTCAACATACGCCTTGCTACAATTTGGTTATTAAAGCTTGATAGCATTTTCCAGGGATAAATGAACACTTTCTTAGACACTGATAACCTTGGTAATTGAAATATCGTAATAGCAACCTCTAGCTAGTTGAAACAAACATAATTTTTCGAATGCTTTTGTGGCACAAGATTCGAAATTGTCTTTAACAAAAACAAGCATTTTAAAGCACTATGGCGCAAGGGCGGATCTAGAGCAAATTTAAGGGGGCGGCAGTTGATTGTGGGGGCGCTGAAATTTTCAGAAATTGGTAAAAAGAGTACACTTTATAAACAAAAATTTCCGACCCTAGCTACTGACAGAAAGCTCGCTTTTACATTCTAAGAAAATCTTCACAATAATTGTGTCAAAGCAATATTATATAGGAAAATAAATACGCATGACTCTTGGAGACTCGACAGTCTCTTCAAGCAATTTCACAAAGAACCGCACCGCAAAGCAGTGTTGAGGTTTTGGCGGACTGTATGCTATCCCACAGAGTTGCAGTAAAAGTGTTTAGTAAAGAAACCAGTGATACCTCAAAAGAGCGGCTGTAGACCGGTTTCACCCCATGCCAGGGATCATCAGTACAGCTGAACTGAATTCGGACCCGAAGCTGACCTAGGGCCAGGAATTAGGCTGTCAGTGGCAATCTCTAAGTTAAGTTTCTCTCCTAATAGATAAATTTGCTGGCTGAACATTCGCTGCTCCGCCATTGTGCCTCAAACTGCTGTTAAAGATTCTGCGACAGGGGCAAACTGGAATGCTCTTTCCTTACGGACATCAACAGGGGGACCCAGAAAGTTTGCCTTTTGGTCTTTTGATTTAATTTTCAATTTGAGTAAGCTGTATAGCTAAGCAGCAGTTTAAAGTATGCACCTAAAGTTCAGTGCGACGTCATTATTGCAAAAGGTAAGACTGATTGCTCGGTGTTTGGTGAAGACCGCCACATGTTGGCGGCGGAAAAACATTTTTCAACCATGACATTCTAGGTATAGCTGGATCTTGGATATTTAAAACATCGACTGAGAACCAAGGACCCTAGGCACAACAAACAAACATTCTAATTGGACTCCATAATTTTATTAGGCTTGAATAAAACATGGAACACTTTTAAGCGCAAGAAGTTGAACACGGTTAGAATAAAGGCAGGAATTAAAGAACACAACTTTATTGATATCGTCTGTTGTCTTCCAAAGCATGTCTTGTCCAACAAAACATGATTTGTCTTCGGAATAAACCATAGAGATCGAATAACGTTGAGGTGATCCTTGAAGTAAATTCATCTATAGGTCTCAGAAACTTTATCACCAGATTCTCATTCCTCAAAAGGGGCGCACAATCTCCCAAAAGGGGCTTCCACTCGGCTAGGGAGGAGTAACCACTGCTGTTGTATTTTATAGGAGGAATTCGTTATCATTATCACCCTTGGACTCCATTGGCAATATCTTTTATAGATAAGCGGCCGCAATTGGACAACCTTAACAGTCATATGCTCGCGTTTCCAACTGGTCTGTCTTGATCTCAACAGTGTTTTCAAATATTTCATAGCTTTGAATAACAGAAGAAAATCTTACGTACGCTTTAAAGTGTTTCAGAGCCTTTCTTCAATTTTTATGAGTAGACTGCAATGAGGTGGAGATTTGTTACAACACTTTCAATAATTTCTCATCCACTAATTCCCTGTAGAGGAATCTGTGATAGCAGTGGTTGAGAAAAGCGATACTTTCCTTTCTTAGCTTGATTTTTTGCTCGACTCGTTTGAAAATGAGTGAAATGAAGCAATCGCCCTTATTTGAAAATTTTTTGTTTCCCCGTGATAGCGAAGAGTCAATAGTTGTTACGTTTAGGCATCGTCATGTTTCACATGTTTGTAGAGTGATCACTGTAATCATTGAAATCACTAATCAAGGAATTGTAATAGGGTTATTTTTGTCAAAACGAATACATCCACCCTATCGTTACCGTCGATATAAACTAGTCCTTCAATGAGACTTGAGACAAAGAGACAAATAAATAATGTTTCAAACGTCCATCTTCCGATCATGTGATCTTTCCGCGAAAGGTTATAAACTTCACAATGTTTCTCTAACAGGCACAGTCTTTCACAAGCACTGTCCATTCAAACTATACTATAGTGATGCACAATCAATAAATCATCACGCGCGATTCCATAAATCAAAATACGTATTCTATGAATCCATACTTCATGTCGACAAGATCTTTCACAAGCATCTTGCCACATAAGTGTAACGTCGAGAACCTAAATATACATATATCAAAACTTAACCTAATCGCTCTTAACCGAATTCCATTTCCAACTTCAACTCCAACGAACTCAAAAACTAACTCTATATGAAACACGCCCAAAATATAACTAAACAAGAACTTATTGTAATGCTACATAGCTACGTAAATTTACATAATAATAATGAATACAAAATATATTAGTCCCAAGATTAATTACATAAACTGAACAATGATACTAAAAATCCCAAAAGAAATAGTTAATGAATCTAAAGGTGCAATTAGAAAACAAAAGGAATTATAAACAATCGAATGTGCGAACGGTGATAAAATTACTAAGGTTACAGGATACAAAACAAACGAAATCCAAACTAGCACTATTACAGAATCACTGTGATATTTGGCTGAAGCAACAAGGTATTACTACAATCAAATACTCTTAATGTAATATTATAACTATCTTCAAAACATGTACATCATTTACTGTCCCTTAAACATATGGATCTACTAAATACATTTTGATCACAATACAAACAAGGCTTCGACTCCTAAACTGTTTCTGATCTTTCACAAAAACATTTTAATGAATAGCAAATAAGTACATGTAGATTGATAAACAAACCTCATAAATCGACTAGATTAAACCTTTTGTCTAGATCAGTCCGTTAATATACATGCAGGTTGAAAACGAAGCAAAAATTGACTAGTCTACATTACTTTGCTCATATAAGTCAGTTTAGATACCCAATTGATTGCCCTATTTACACGGAAGATAAAGTTGTTAAATTTCCCATTGTTAAAAAAAGTTGTTTTAGAAAACCCGACTCACAATGCATTTGAAAGAGCAGAAATTAAAGACGTTCACAATTGCTCCAATTATCTGTCTGTAGAGCGTAAGATCTAAAAGAACTCCAATATCAGTCCATCTCTACGTGAGAATTGACTTGGTTTTTGAATGACTTTACAACGTATACAAGGCCCAAAATAAGTCCTGCTCCACCGAACAACGGTCCTGCAACTATGCATGCACATGCTGCATCAATACCTGTGTACACCTGCATTTGAATGAGTAGATAATTAGAACGAAGCTGGATTTATGAGAGGCTGTGACAAACTAATTTCAAAGTGTTCAACGAAAGGGGCCATTGCTGGCAATTTGCATGCCCATGCTACATTAATACAAGTTGAATGATACAATCAATAGATTATTTATGAACAATGATAAGAATGACAAATGATAAAAAATAAATGATTTATTCAAAATTGGCATATAAATCGAATACCTGTGTAAGTGGTAACTAATGACAATTATCAAAGTCAGAAATATTGAAAGTGTTTGCAATTTGAGAAAAAGATCATAACATCTTATCAGTTCAAAAAATCCTAACCTAAAAATTAATGTTTACGCAATTTGTAGTCACATGCAAGTTTGTGGGTTCTTACTGCTTCTTTTTGAAACTTGCTATGACTGGGACCCCGGTACTGTGACGTAATGTTTGTCACAGCTTTCGACTCAAATATTTAACAGTTCCAAAGCAATAAGAAAGTCTTTTTATTTGGAATCCAAGGTTGTTCTTATCTTGTAACTCACATTGTACGTCTCTTGCCTCACTCATTGAGCTAGGATTTAGGATATTTTGGCTTTGTATATTTCTATCAGCAAGTACTGTAGATTACGTTGATGAACGATACTGCTTTATCTAACTCATCCCATGGTTGTTCTTATTAAGTAGCTAAACGGTGACTTTAAGAAGTTGTTTACCACGAGCCACAGTTTATCAGGATGCATTAACGGGAATACTCTAGCAAGAGCATGCAGTATTTGTTTGTCCTTTTTGCATAAAGTTCAGATGTGCAAATTAAATTAATTATCTATCTAATATCGATCCCAGTAACTTCTCTTTAAAGCTATCTTCAACTTTTTCTTCGATGTCATCTTGATTTTTCCAAAGAATAAGTAGATGATACTTTCCTTCATTCAATTAAATAATGTCTTCACGAAAAGTTATTTTGATAAGGCAAAAGAGAAGAACCTTATCTTTCCAAAATTCTATTTAAACGACAGTCAGCTTCCAGAAGATTGGATTTAAAATGGTTGAATCAGGATTAATGTTATTGTCAGTAGAAGTATTTATCCATGCAAAAACTGTGTCAAAATAGGATCTTATAGTTTACATGATAAATTGAGATTAATAGTCGAGTATTATCTCTTTCTTCCTCTTTCATTCATTTTAAGATTTATAGTATTATACATTTATACGTTGGAAGGACAGGCATATGTATCATAGAACTGTATTGAGAATAAACTGCCTGAAAAGCATAAAACATGTGTCAACCGAATTTCTTGAAATAACCAATTTATGGTAATACTGAGAAATTCTGGACAATTTATAAGAAGATGGAAAGTTTTGGCCAGATTGTTTTAATAGCTAAAACGTGCTAAATCTCAAGGCGCAAAGTTGTTTAAACAAACACTCACCCCAGAGAAGGAGGCCTGAGTCGTCTCTGATGCCTTATAGGCGATTTCAAGCCAAACCAGTGGGATGACATTGCTGTAAGGAGGCGAGCCATAGCTTTGTTTGTAAGAAATATTCAATGGTGGTTGTCTAGGTGCTTGAATCGTGATTTCAGGTATAGCAACATTCATCTGGCTTAGTGTTCTTGCTTTAAAAACAATGCCACTAACAGGCTCGATTGAAAGCTAAAAAGTTTCGAATTACACAAAATCAATATACATGTTAATCAACATTGGTGATCATTTATTCTTAAATGCGTAAGCAAGGCTTCCTGAGAAACATCTACAATCCCAGACAAAAATAATTGAGACTTTTCAAGGAAAGTTGATATTTTCTCTTTCATTTGAAGAATAACTTTTTTCCCTCTCCCAATTCAATTTTGAATGCATGATTTTGAAAAAGAAATGATAGAATCCAAAATTCTTTTTTGGGAGAAAGGGGGCATTCAAATTTAAAGGGCAACGTAAAGTAGAAAATTGCACAATTTGCATTTTGTCTCAACAATTTGTCTGGGATTGTAGACTTTTTGAAAATTTCGAAATATAATTCTTTACACATCTGACTTGGTGGGGGGTAGGAGGGGTAAGTTCGGTATATAAAGTCAGCAACAGTTAGTAGAAAAGAAAAAAATGTTTTCATCTCTTTCGTCATTAGTAAATTCTACTTTTCATGGGCCTCCAAACCCTTAAAGTCAAGGTTTGCCGCAGGATATGTATATATATGTTACGAGAAGAATGGACAAGATTTTCTCCTTTTAACAAAAGCAAACTTACATGGTCTGTTGCATGTTTTTGACAAGTGTTATCTTTTTCCCAGTTATTTGAAACTTACAAAAAGTTTGTATCATTCCAAAACACAGTTTCACAGAATGGTTGATTCGATTCAGAGTCTGGAAATTGTTTCAGATACTAATGACATCCTTACTTAAAAATACGAAACCTTTTGCTTCCGTTAATGAAATTGGCAAGATGCATTGTTAAACATAATCCTTTGAGCAACGTGCCTTGGTACTATACGGTAAGATCATCAATATACGGCCTCTTTTTAAAGATCATTCAAACTTTAATGTGCAAAATTTCTAAGGCAAGAATAGTATTAACTATCATACGTTTAGTTTGTTTATAATTTGTAATACGGTTTGGGCGTTAAGTGTTGATCTTGTGAGCACCAGTTGGTAAAAACCATACTCGGTGAAACATTTCACCATTAGTTTCCCATTACGGCCAAATACACTTGATTAACGTAAACGTACCGATTTTCAATAATCTGAAATCTAAAGAAGTTTGAAGTAGTTTTCATTGAGTATGATTTGAATAAGTGGCCCAAATTTTATACTTACCACCGTTTTGTATTGAGATTCATCTGGCTTCGTACCTAGCATTTTTGCTAATGCCGGATCAGCATAGAGGAAATGTGGCATGCTAGTCGTCATAGGCACACCTTGATAGTTTTTTGAAACATCAATCAGTCCATTTTTGAACACCGTAATATTGTTTTGCTTGTATAAAGACTTTGAATCTGCCTCAAATTTGTGTGTGTATATAGGACCAATATATTCTGTGCCTGAAACAGATCATCAATATTCACACTAAAATAACGCCCTGGTAGGAAAATCTAATTTTTAATAATCCTTAAAGTTTGAGTGGGCAATGTCTAGTAATTTTTTCTTTTCAACTGGATTGTTTCGATATTGATTCGGGTAAGAAACTGAGTCATTTTTAGCTGTAGTTATCATTCTCTCATATAAATGCCTGAACATCTTAAAATTTTCTTCAACATTTGATATGCTATACACTAGGCATGCGGGTTAGAATAATATCAGGATGCATAAAGATAAAAGGGTTGCTGTGCTAAGAGGTGGGTTGCTGTTCTGGGAAATAAAGGGCTGATTCGATGAAAATATTGCTGCACTGGGAAATAAGATTCGATGCAGTTTGGTAAAAGTTACGGCGCTGGAAAAAGAGTTGCTGGACCTAAAATACCTTTTTTTCTGAATATTAGTACACTTTCTTTATTGTATCAAACTCGTAGCAACAGATTAGCATATAAGCAAAATGACACCCACCTTTTCTGACAATATTATAATGGAGCTTAAGTGTGCTGTCAAACACCTTGTAAGTGTCCTTCATTGCCTTTTGCTTTCTAGTGCAGGGCGTCATTGTCTGCGTTCCAAACATAGTACCGGTATAACCCTCAACTTTCCGGTCACTGGCATTTGCCTTTGGGTAGTACTTAGAGTCAACGTACTGGCTGCCATCAAATTCTTTTGATAAGAGAGAAAAGGATTACTTCATTCCGTAGTTGCAACAAACATTAACAACAGATACAAACAAGATATATTTTTGCATAAAGTTAACAGTCTTTGATCTCAAGGTAGAAGAAGAACGAAAAAATCAGCATTTTCCTTAAGCATTCCTCGAAATACCTAGGAAGCATGAAATTCATTTGTTTATTTCCGTATGTGTTCATTGCAATTTTTTCAAGCGATACTAATGACGTTGCAGCATTTCTTGAGTTTTACATAATTATCATATATTACTGGACGCCCAGGGCAGCAAGAAACTTAAACTTTGAGCTAATGATTTAGAGCAATAGTGCAATAGTGCAAAAGGGGCTGCCAACCTTTGACTTGAAAAGCCAATGACGCATGGCCGCATGTGTACACTTTTGAACTTGACTTGGCAGATGAATCTTCTGCTTTGTCCAATGGCAGAAAGTTTTTAACTGGAAAGCCATTTGGAAATATTCCTGGAATCTTCAAATTTGTTTCAAGGTATCCATGTGAAATCTGTTTGACAGTTCGAGTCATCAGAGGACCAAAATCAAATCGGTCAGTTGCTATATGTATGGCTAACTTGGCCAAATGATCTGTTATATACAGTGTAATGGCAGCTGATGTATACGGATCGAGGATAAGACATAGCGAGGGCGAGGGACAAAACAGGTCTTGGATACGTTTGAGAACAGCTACAACATAAGCAGTGTTGTTCCCAACAGGCGGTCTTTGAAGTTGTTGTAATGCACTTGTGTAAAAAAGAAAACCACATCCACTGATAGTTGGGTTAGCTGTACAAAGCCTAGTCAGTGTGCTGTTCCCAGTAACACCTAGCAAAACCGGTGATGTTATCACGCTAGCCAAGGCCTCCATTTCTGTGCGATTGTATCCAATTCTTGATATTCTAGCAAGAAAGCCATATAATGGAGACGTCTTAGTTTTATTTTGCAAAGCAAACCATGGAGCGAATCCTGGTGGAGACCAGCCCTCAGGGAAAGCAGCGTTTCCTTTGGAAAGTAAAGGGCAACTAAAATTTCCAAAGCGTTCATGTAGTTTGCTCTTTGAAAATCTGCTTACATTGATAGCAGTGTTGATCAACATGACATAAGCTGTAGGAACAAACCCCAAGGCCATGCTTCTATCCCCTCGTGCTCCAAGCATCAACCCAATATAGCCAACATTTGGAATCGTTATCTAGAATGCAATGAATTATATTTTGTTCCAGAAGTGCTTCTTGATTGGTGAAATAGTTAAAAAATTTCCAAGGACTATAAAAAATTTTCTCTTATGATTACAAACTACAAAATCTTCAAATTGTAATGAAAAAAAACATTTTGTGGGTTAAATTCAACCTTCCTTGAGTAAACATTACTACCACGTAAATGTACACGAAGTTTGGAAATAGAAACAAAAAATACAAAAACGAATTCCAAGAATGTTTGCTTTTTTCAAAGCCATTTGCAAGTTTTGTACCACCAAAAGATTAATTCCAAATTAATTAAATTTTCCTCTGTGTTAGTTTGGAGTAGAAAGGTTTAGGCATGGGAACCAAAGATGGATGGTGACACGAGCTTCTAAACTTACATGCATATGCTAGTACAGCTCCCGACTCCAAAACTCGTCTTTTTCAAAGCTCGGTTTTTAGAAGATAATTGTTTTGTTATTATGAATCTTTTTATACAGCCGCGAGTCTAAAGCTTGAACAAAACAGTTGAACGTTGTGATCATATGATTTGCTTCAAAGTGGACAGCGAGAGGCAAAAAATTATCTAATCAACCAACAGTGTCAGACACATTTGCCAACGACCTAACATTTTAGCCAAAAAGTAGGGCAAATGCTCGACCTTGATCAAATACTAGCTAGCAAAAAAACTCTAAATTTTTCATTCAAATAACTTCATATCTGGAAACCAGTCTAGTCTGTGCGCAGGCTAACGCTAGCCAACATTGCAAAACGCATGGTGTGAAAATGACCCCACGTTCACCTGACATGACATGTTGGACCAAATGTTGGACCAAATGCTAGATTGTTTGCAAAGGCCTTGATTGTGAGTTGCTAACATGAATGAATGATGAGATGACAGATGGATCTGCTTATGAGCTATCAAAGAGAATGCGCATCGAACTGAGCCACGTGTGCTTTTTGACCAAAAGAAGGAGGGATTACTCACACATAAGAAGACATCGGTTCGTCCCCCTCCCCCCAAACCCGGTGACACGAGGCTCTAAACTTACAGCATATGCTAGTAAGTCCCGCTCCAAAACTCGTCTTTTCAAGCTCAGTTTTTATAAGAGATAATTGTTTTGTTATTATTGAATCTTTTTATACAGCCCGCGAGTCTAAAGCGAACAAAACAGTTGAACGTTGTGATCATATGATTTGCGTTCAAAGTGGACAGCGAGAGGCAAAAATTATCTAATCAACCAACAGTTGTCAGACACATTGCCAACGAACTCCTCTATTGCCTTATTAGCTTTACAAAAATTTCACAAGATTAACCTCTATGCTGTACTGACCTTGAGTTCCACTCCGAATACTGTGTGAGTCGCGCAGCATAATATGACATGTCTCTACTCCAACTCTTTTCTATGAGTTCTGTCACATACTGTACCGATCTACAGAACGTAATACGTGCCAGAACTCAGTATGTGCGTGTGAACATAACACTCTATCATAAACCATGTTGTGCATAACGCATGTGTGACAAAGACCCCACGTTTCAACCTGAAGACATGTTGGACCAAATTATGACCAAATGCTAGATTGCGCGATAGATAGCTGTCCCTAATAACGATTGATGAGTTGCTAACATGCGCTTCAATGATGAGAGACAGATGGATCTGCTTTATAGCTATCAAAAGAATGCGATCCGAATAGCCACGTGTGCGTTTTGACCAAAAGAAGGAGGGATTACCTTCACACATAAGAAGACATGCGGTCGTCCCCTTCCCCCCTAAAACCCCCAAAACCCCCCCCTCCCCATTGATAAATGACTATTTTAAGTGTTGGGTCAGCTTATCTGTTTCGCTGCAGTTGGGACAGCAGCTTGTGTAGCGACAGGATCAAACTGAGAGTTTCCAACTCCTTGTATTCCACTGTGTCCTCTGGCAGATGAGATGTGGACATTTCAGCCTTCATTGAGATATTCGATAACATGGACGGCCATACCTCCTTCACCTGTTGAAAAAAATTCGGTTTGGTAATTTACAAGTGCGTGAGTTAGTACATTGTCTGTAAACAGTTGATACGCCTACAGTACGGGACTGCCGTAGAGTTTTAATAGTAACGAACAAAATCAATGCAAGTTTTGCATATTCTCATTAACAAAAATGTTTCAGATCACGCATCCATAAGTCGATCCGCGTGCTTTTCCCCTCGATAAAGAAATCCTGCTTGTTTGTCAGGTTCCAGTATTACTGAACAACGGCTTGCGCTGCTAAAATCTGTTTAAATTGATCCTATCTTGAAAAGAAAGCTCATACCTGCCAGCGTTGACGTCACGGTTGCCAGTTATCGATAACATTATTCTCACCTATAGACACAGGTTGTGATACGACCTGCAGAGAACAGCAACCTGGCCGCTACCACTCGTCTATCGGCTTGCCTCTAATCAACTGTAACTATCACGGGAAGTCCTAGAACTCTTGGTCATATAATAAGCTACCTTCTGCGTGCCTCTTGTATAACCTTAAACACAATCTGTTAACTCCGTCATTCTCCGAGATAAGTCTAGTATAGTCTGGTGCCGTGTATATTACCGAAGTAAATACACCCGCGTCACGAGAGTGCTGTGTCAAGCAGGCGTGAATCCTCATAAGTGTGATCTTGACTCGAATATGCATACAGGGTCTTATATCCTTACTGCTGTGTTGGTCACAATTATGCCTGCATTTGGAATTAGAGTTTAAATAGGAAATAACAGAGAGAAAGAGATTGAAGAAACACAAGCAGGATTTAGTTCAGGTGTTAGGAACGAGAGAGAATACTATCTTTAGCTAATTTTCGATTAAGTGTCTTGAAGAAAAACAGAATGTGTTTGTCTGCGACTATTCGAATATGATACATAACAGTATGCGAGCCTATAGCAGTGTAGCGTCCAAGCTGTCACGAGACGCAGTGTGAGTCGTTACCAATAAGTTAATAACAGCGCGCGCTCGTCTGTCAACGAGAGCGATGAGGACCAGCATCTAGGCTATTTCTAAGAATGATACAAAAACCTTTACTGGAATCAGACAGCCAGCATAATGTTAGAAGAGGGGAAATCAGACAGTTTTTGATATTTACAAGTATCTTCGCACGATAGTATGTGATAGTTTGTGCCGACCTCTTCCTTCGATACACACAAAAATGATTACTATTACAGGAAGATATATTTCAAGCAAATAGCCGACAAAGTTACTGGTGTGAACATTAGGAGGGAAGAAAATATGAACAAATCTGCAGAAAATAATAAACAAAATAAATTAGCAAGTGAAAGCCCTGGACGCCTTACGGGATACATGTAAGAAATAACGCGTTTGAAGTGGATGTTATCGAAAAAATGCTTAGGATCTATACACAAATCACATTACAATTATGAGTATGTGAAACATGGTAAATGAAAAAGGTCTCACTAGAAAAGAACCTTTAATACAGAATATACAAAGACGGCGTAACGGCTTGGTTCTTCGCTCAGAGCTGCCTGATTTTGGACATTTAGAAGAAAAGACAAAATGCAAAAAATCATGTTGAACGAAAACTCACCTCTCTATGTGCGAAAAGACCAAAGGCAGACGTCCCCGTAAATCGTGGACTTTGAAGAAAACATCATTGGGAATGGACAAAGGTTAAACTTTGAGCAATGCATGTATCAACAAGAGCTGATGATTCGTGACTACTGGAGAGGAGAAACGGACGAACTGACATTTTTGAGAGATTCTGTGGCTACACAGTCGAATTTGATATAGCTCGGGCTAGATCTTATCATTTTCATGATTATTTAGTGTTTAGTTCATTTATGATTATCGGAGGGGATAGTGTGTGCTATACGTCGTGTAGCAGGTCAAATGACATCTCCGATTTCAGAGTGATGTACTTATTTTGGTCTGACGAATTTAGTAATGTGGCATTGATTGCTATTAAAAGTTATTCATATCACTTCAAAGATTTATTGACAATAAAAGTTATATAGAATTGTCACTGACTGATAGGAATTTGTCATCGATCCCACACTGAAATTAATCTCCAGTATAGTTCGGAATCTTAATGTGAGCCTGAGCGTATTTTCTCCTAGTGTGCACCTGAGGGCGCATATTTTCCAGGGGAGGGGCTCAAAACTTAATTGCAATGCTAATGGTGGCTGCCAACGGCACAGCGGGTTTAGAAAAGGCCTAGCGAGGTCTAAGGTGATTTTTCATTTACTATTTTTCATTATCGTTGTTATTTGATCTTGATTTAATCACTCCGGTATCTAGCCTCTTTACGTGATCTCTAGTAAAATATGTGAGAGAGAGCACTCTAACTAAACAAATCGATAGCCAGACATCCTTATTTCCTCAGGGGGGCTGACCCCACAAATTTTATGTCAGAAGAAAAACGTGAGGCCCTTTGGAAGGCCCCCCCCCCCTAACCCTGCGCCTATTGCGCCTAATAGAGTGTTTGGCAGTGCTAATTGTCTCCAGTTCTACTTATAACCTACACATACTGCTGTGCACACAAGAATTCTTTTGACTCCAACAGGAAAGAAGACTATGAAATACCCCTTGAGACGTGAATCAGTTGAATCGGTTCAAAATTGACTGAAATATGCCCTAAACATAAAACACGTTGTCTCTACTTCAGAGCACACACTTAACAATATCATCCGAAAACTACACTCTGCGTATATCTCCGATCTACAATTTCTATCCTGAAAACATCGGTCTAGATGTTCTTAGGGAACCAGGCCAATCTGCCATGATTCACGTATTAGCTACAGCTGTATTCACTGTTGATGTCCACCAGAGAGTGTCAGGGATTGGCGGGCTACTGAGCTCTCGCGATCTGATCAATACAACTACATATGTGTATCAAGTCACTCATTGGGCTCCCAATAAATTCATGTTCATCCGCCCGCTTTGAAATAACTTGGATCAGGATCTTCCACATAGCACAAATAGAATTTTTTGTGTTTCGTCAGTCCGCCATTCTTTAGTGCTGGTCTAAACTTGAGTGTGCGAACAAACCTATCGCTCTTGTTCCGCGTTAATTGTGCAGTCTTTCTCGAGGCCACATATAATTTTCACTAATTGCGGTACATCACTA